AGCTCCGCCAGGTTCCTCTCGCGATATCTGAGCGTTGCTGCGGCAACGCTCAGATCTCGCGAGAGTTAACTCTATCCCTGCAGGCTAGAGTTCACTCTCCACTGGACCACCAGGGATGGCACATGGCAGCAAGGATTTACTAATCTGCCAAATCCCTCCAAACATACAGCACTAACCGCACCCTCACAAACACATCACACTACAACAGCACACAAAGCAGTATATATACACACACACACACACACACACACCCTGTGTGTTTGTGCTTTAGGGTGCACACCCTAATGCAATAGGCTGCGCACGCCTATGGCAACACTGGCTAGTTACCGCTTCTCAAGAAAGTCTAAAGACAAAAAAATGTTGTCTATGGTGCGGGTAGTATAGAAGGCAAGACTGAGACAAATCATTCGGGTTACGTTTGCCTGTTGACATGTTAATTATCTTAGACCATTAAAATTCAATAATCAATGAAAAAACACACTAAGTGTCATACAAAAATTAGCAGATACTCTCAGATATGAAGAGCAGGCCCCAAAATGTACTGCTAAATAGTACATTTTGGGGCCTGCTCTTCATATCTGAGAGTCAAATTGAAGCATCTAATAGTGCGCTTACAGCGCACTTGTAAAAATTCTTATTTTCTGGGTGGTAATCTGCTAAGTAGTACATTTTGGCAGGGCTGCCATCAGAAATTGTGGGGCCCCTGACACAGCTCAAGGTCTGGGCCCCCCGGTGCCTGCACCCGAGTCCGCCCAAAGTGATGCGCCCCCCCCGAATCTGCCCACAGGAATGCAGTGTCTGCAGGGCCGGTGCAAGGATTTTTGCCGCCCTAGGCAAAAGTAAAGTTTGCCGCCCCCCCCCGTGTGACATCACAATGCCCCACCCATATGATCTGCCATGTTAACTAACACCAGTGCTGCAGTGCCGCCGTGTTTACATTAAAAGGCCTGCAGGGACAGGCTAGACACCAGAACCACTACATTAAGCTGTAGTGGTTCTGGGGACTATAGTGTCCCTTTAATGTGAGGTAAATTAGAGATTAGTGCCACAAATAATATACTAGATTGTCTACTTACAACCAGCTGAGGATGATGGACTCTAGCTCCCGTCTGGCTCCACTGGTCTGGTGTAGAACAGGCTCTCTGGAGGCGGTTTGTAACTGTGGTAACAAAAATCAATGTTCTGGGATCAATGGGAAGCAGCTCCATTTTTTGAGGGCCCTTTACACAGCTCAATGTCTGGGTCCCAATATCCACCTTCATGTTCCACCAATGAGTTTGTACACAGGGGGTGGAGTGTGTGTAAGGAATGCATTGTGTGAATCTGTGTTTGTATGTGTAAGGGCTGCAAGGTGAGTTTGTGTATGTATGTGTCAGGGTCTTACCTGGGTTGGGAGTCTGTAGCGCAGATATGTTGCTCACCCTTGCAGATAGCCACAGGCCAAGGTGGTCAGGTAAGAATTCACCCGGCCTGTGGGTCTGTGCATGGGGGCTGTGCAGGATGAAGTACCAAGTCGCAGGACAGGCAAGGACTCAAACAGCAGGATCGTCAAAGGATAGCCGAGGTCAAAGGATGCCAGAAGACAGGAACAACAAGGAGTAGCCGAAGTCAAGGGATGCCAGAGGTCAGAGTAAACGTAGTCAGAAGCCAGGATCAATCACAAGTAGCAGCTCAAACGACAGGAACACTGGTACAAAGCACACAACAGGATCCTGATCACAGGGCGAGGCTGAGTTTAAATACCCTGCTAATGTCTGATCAGGGTCAGGTGAAGCACATCCAAAATCAAGGTACAGCCCCCAGAGTAATAGACATGTCCAGGATGAACAGGACCAGAATGACATGTGGAATACAAAAGCTGCTGTGGCTCAGAGGAAGGAAGCAGGACCAGGACTGTGAAGTTCCTTGGTTCAAGTCCCTTGTTGGGAACTCCATGGGTGACCACGTCTGGCCGTCGGTTTGCTGCGGCGAGAGCCGTGTCAGTATGGGATGCAGTGTGTGCGTCTGTAAGGGATGCATTGAGTGTGTGTAAGGGGTGCATTGTGTGTTGCTGTGTGTAAGAGATGCATTGCTTGTGTGTGTGTAATGCATTGTTTGTTTTTCTGTGTGCAAGGGGTGCATTGTGTGTGTGTGGTGGATGTCAATCTCTCCCCCTCCCCCCCTCCAATTTCCCTCTCCCCCCTCCAATTTCCTTCTTCTCCCCCTCTCTACAATTTCTTTATTCTCCCCTCCTCTCCTTCTTCTCCCCCTCCCTTTCTCCCCCTCAAATTTCCTTCTTCTCCCCCCTTCCAACTTCCTTCTTCTCCCCCTCCAATGTCCTTCTTCTCCCCCTCCAACTTTCTTCTTCTCCCCCTCCTCTCCAATTTCCTTCTCCCCTTCCCTCTCATTGCCTTCTCCCCCCCTCAAATTTCCTTCCTCTCCTTCTAATGTTCCTTCCTCTCCCCCCCATAGAAGTTTCTTTCCTCCCTCCCTCAAAATTTCCTCCCTCCTCCTTCCTTAAATTTCTTCCCCCCTCCTTAAATTTCTTTCCTCCTCCTCCTCCTCCCCCCCCCTCTCCCCCTGACAGACGGCGGGCACGCGAGGGAGCACTCTGTGTGCTTCCTCTTCAGCTCCCTTGCGCGCCGCGTTCTAATGCCGGCGCCGGAAGATGATGTCATCTTCAGGCTCCGGCATCAGTACGGTGCGCCCGCCGGGTGTCAGCAGGGCCAGCCTCTGGGGGGCCCTGAGATGACCGGCTGCTGGGCCCCCCTGGAGAAGAGGCTGGCCCAGTGGGTACATACCGGGGTCGCAGGGCCCCCTGCTCAGGTCGTCCGGGCCCCCCAGGACCGCCGGGCCAATGACAACCGTTACGGTTGTCATGCGCTGATGGCGGCCCTGCATTTTGGGGCCTGCTCTTCATATACGAGAGTCAAATTGAAGCGTCTAATAATGCGCTTACAGCGCAGTTGTAAACATTCAAATTTTCTGGGTGCTAATCTGCTAAATAGTAAATAGTAAATTTTGGGGCCTGCTCTTCATATCTGAGAGTCAAATCGAAGCGTCTAATAGTGCGCTTACAGCGCAGTTGTAAACATTCAAATTTTCTGGGTGGTAATCTGCTAAGTAGTACATTTTGAGGCCTGCTCTTCATATCTGAGAGTCAAATAGAAGCATCAAATACTGCGGTTACAGCGCAATTTTAAACATTCTAATTTTCTGGCTGCTAATCTGCTAAATAGTAAATTTTGGGACCTGCTCTTCACATCTGAGAGTCAAATCGAAGCGTCTAATAATGCGCTTACAGCTCAGTTGTAAATATTCTTATTTTCTGGGTGCTAAATAGTACATTTGGGGTGTGCACTTCATATCTGGTGTATGTGTGCAAAACTGTCTAGTTACCGCTTCTCAAGAAAGTCTTGACATGCGCATCATCGTCCTTTTGGCCTATTCCTGGTATAAACCAATTAGAGACCTTCAAGAATTACGGACACATGAATTTTTGGCAAAATATTCCACGGCTTTATTAAATATATAAATAATCAAATATAAATTTAAAAGGTCATTGTCAACAACGATTAGGAAGCCATCCCCCCAATTAACATAACTATACACCAAGACAATGACCTAAACCATTTTACAGAATACATCCATATAACCATATAACATAGTATAAATAACATAAACATTAACATAGCCACCCAGGGCATCCATTTCCAATTGTAGGGGCATACCAAGACACCCCTACGCCATTATCACAGCCACCAAGGGCATCCCTTTCCACTGTAGGGGCATACCGAGACACCCCTACACCCCCAGGTTCGGAGCTACCGACGAGCTCGAACCTACCACCAAATCCAAAAGTAAGTATTCGTCCTGACCTATCCCACTTACCAAAAACCGACCTACCCCCCAATTAACCTAATCCATCCCCCGGCACAGCACAGAGCTTGACCACCTCAAGCCACCTGGGCGCCCCCACCCCGAATGAACAACGCCGGTCTCAAGCCGTCCTGGAAGCCCAAGTTGAGAAAATCTAGACCTACTCCGGAGGGATGCACGCCATCACGTCTGAAATATCCCAGCAACATATCCTCCAGCTCCCTATGTCTGACTACTACCCCACCAGACCTTTTGATAAAAATCGCCACCAACTTATTAAACTTGCGTCTACATCTCGCTGAGAAATCCCGCGCATGACGCCAATGGAAACGCGGTACAGTTTCCGACCATACAATAACCACCCCGGGAAGTAAGGACCTCAACTTATCCACGTCCCTCTTTATACAACGTACTAATTTCCTTTGTGGTACCAGACCAAAATCATTTCCCCCAGCGTGTAACAATATGAATTTGGGAACCTCCCCCTGACCGATCTTCCAAAATAATTCTAAACATATGTCTCTCCAACCAAAACCCAGGAAACCAAACCATAACAATCGTAAAACATCCGTCGGAAAGCCCAGCTGCGTGCCTTGTCTCCAAACTGCAGCTCTCCGTTCCGCCCAGTAGACATAGGAATGGCCTACTATCCATGCGACTCCATCTGAAAATGAAAGAAATAACTTATAACCACCGGGCCATCGTATCGTGTACCCCATAACATCAAACCTGATTTACACTAACCGATCAGGCCGGACATAAGAGCGGAACCTGAGCGATTCCCATCTCCCAATCTTTTTAACTAAATCATCATCTAGACCCAACATCGCCGCCTCCGTGGCAGCCCCAATCCTAAACGAGTGGGTGCCAAACTGCGTGGGATCCAGACCCAGGCGTTCCAAACTCAGCTTAAAGACCCTAGTAAACTGAAACTTAGACATCGCCGAACCGTCCGCATGCCGAAAAAACGAACCCTGACCCTTTGGACGGATCTCCATAGATCGGCGAGCACTGCTCACCGGGCAAGCCGCAACCTGAGGTAGTGAAAATAATTTAACTGTACAACCTTTCCCAAAGACATCTGTCTTCGAGTGCCGTAATCGAATGGCTACCTGCTCTACCCCCAATTCCACGTCCGTGAACTGAAGACCACCTTGCCTAACTCTGCTGCCACTTACAATTTCACTCACCCGAAAAGCCCCGAAAAAGGCCCATACAAAAGCAACCGTAAATAACAAGACCTCGAACGAGGAGAAACATAAACCTGGCAGGACTCCCAACAGTTGTTGAAGCAAGGCAAAAGACACCGGTCTCCTAGTGTCAGGTTCCAACTTACCCTTACGATAACCCTTCACTGCCTGCCGTACTATAAAGGACTTTGTCGAATCCTCCCACCCATTGAGCTTGAAGAGGAACGCCAACGCTGCAAGGTTCCGGCCAACCACCGCCGGAGAAGCCCCTGCCGCGAATAAGCGGCAAAGCAACCATAATAGCGTATCGAGACATACCTCTGTGGAGACCTGATCCGCCGTACAGCCCAAAGCTTCGTCCCAACTTTTCCATACTTTACTATACGCCGCCCACGTGCCCGGAGTCAACGAATCCCTGATCAGTCCTCCAAGCAAGAGGTCCCGAGCTGCTACATGTGATCCGGACATGACAGACCCTCCATTTGTGCGTTCGGAGCCTCCAACCGAAATTTTTCCCACTGAAAGCGAGAAAGCGAATCAGCAATTACGTTCAAGAATCCCGGTATATGACGTGCACGAAAAACAATATTCAACTGCATGCAATACAAAACAAACCGACGAAGGAGTCAAACCACTGGGACCGATGAAGCCGAAAGATTATTCACCGCCTCCACTACGGCCATATTGTCCGTAAAGAAGATCACTCTCCTATCGCGAAAGACTTGGCCCCACAATGAGAGCGCTACTACTAATGGGAATAACTCGAGAAAGGCCAAGTTCCGAATAAATGGGCTGGCTGCCCAATGTTCAGGCCACTTCTCAGCACACCAATGACCCGCAAAGTAAGCCCCAAAACCCACGCTTCCTGACGCGTCGGTAAAAAGTTCCAACTCGGGCGATTCAATACTTTTATCCCTAAAGAAGACCCGACCATTGAAGTCCTTCAGGAAGGTCTCCCATACCCTCCCTCATCGGGGCTGTGACCCTGATAAAGTGATGAGAGGACCGTACTCCCGCAGTGGCCTTAGCTCGGAACCGGTTGAATACCCTTCCCACCGGAATAATGCGACATGCAAAATTCAACCGCCCCAATAAGGACTGCACGGTCCGTAGCGTCGCCTTTTTTGCCCTGCGCAACTCCGAAATGGCACCACGGAGGGACTCCAGCTTATCCAGTGATAACCTGCATTCCCCGGCCTCCGTATCTATTTCAAGGCCCAGAAAGCTAAGGCATGTTATAGGCCCTACGGTCTTGTCGCGAGCCAGAGGTACCCCAAAAACATGAGCCCGACACACAAGAAATCGTCCAGATAATAGACCACAAACTTGGTGCCCGCTTCCACCCTCACCACCCATTCCAGGAAGGTACTAAATTTTTCAAAGTAAGCACATGAAATGGAACATCCCATGGGCAAAGATCTACAAAATAATTTCCATCAATATAACAGCCTAATAAATGGTGACATTTCGGGTGGATGGGTAGAAGGCAAAAAGTCGCTTCTATATTCACCTTTGCCAACAACGCTCCCCGTCTTGCTTCTTTTACCAGCTCAACCGCTTGGTCAAATGATGCATACGAAACAGAACAAAGAGCCCCGTCAATGTCATCATTGACTGATGACCCTTTCGGGTACAACAAGTGGTGGATAAGGCGAAATTTCCCTGTCTCCTTCTTGGGCATCACACCTAAAGGAGAAACCCTAAGATCTGGCAGAGGCGGCTCCCCATACGGCCCCGCCATCCGCCCCAGGCGAACCTCATGAAGCAATTTCTCCCATACTACGTCATGGTGTTCGCCCACAGAGTGCAGGTTACGGAAACGAGGAACCACCACCGTTTCCGGAATGGTATGATAAAACCCTTCGTGAACCCTTCTAGCGATAATCGGGCATCCTCCTGATTACCGTACCTGCTTAGCCATGGGAGCATCGCGTCTACCTTCACTGGCGAGCACCCCAGAGGAAGCGGATGGTGCTGACGCACCGCCGGCGTTTCCTGTTGCCGCGGGCTTACCCCGCTTAAAACACCGGTTGTAACCATGCCCCCCACCGCATCCGGAGCATTCATGCCTAAAACGGCATGCGGAGCCCCACTTACATTGGCCTTCATTAAAGAGCCAGCAGAATCCCTTCCTTTGAGCAGCCGACGAGGTGGAAGAGGGACCGGCGCCGCCCCCCCCTGAAAGGGAGCTGCCTTCTGCGCCATCATCAGCTTCATCCATAATGGCAGGTCCATCTGATCCCACCGCATTCCCGGATTAGCCGATAACCTCTGACGGAACTGTTCATCATACTGCCACCAGGCCAGTGCCCCATAAGTGCGATATGACTCCCACACACCGTCCAGGTAACAGAATAGCTGAGAGCATTTCTCAGGCATCTTCTCACCCAGGACACTCACCAGGATGCAAAAGGCTCGCAGCCAATTCCCAAAAGTTTTAGGGATTTTTCTATACCGCCGCCGTTTTTCTTCCTTCAAGTCTAAGTATTCCTCTAGTGGGAGAAGGGAGAAGATCTCCACAAATTCCCCTTTCCACAGTTTTTCCTTAACCTCCAATTTGAGATGACACCCTAGTGGACACGCAAACGACACATGCACATTCTGCCGTGCTGCATCCGGGATATCACCCAATAGCAGGTCGCTCTCAGCTACTACTTCTGTGGCTACCGACGCCGATGACGCTGCCATAACCTCCCCTGTACTGCTCCCTGCCCGTCCTGTTATTAGTTTCTCCCCCGTCCCCAGACCCGACGACCCTGGCAACCAAACCTTGCTAAAGGAAGCCCCTCTATCCGAACCTGAACTCCACGATGTAAGAAACGATTTTAAGCCCTCTAACAAGTCTCCCGAGTGTGGTGTACTGTGGGACTCACCAGCCAAACCCCGTGGTGTCGCCGATCCTGGGGCTGCTACCCGAACTCCGCCGTGTGAGGGTCCTGACGAAGCTGTTTGGAAATCCCCGCCGTCCTGAGGCCTCCTTCGGCCCACCGACCCGACATCCAATGACCTGTGAACAGAAGAAGCAAACCTGAGGAGGCCGTCATCAGAACACCGATCCTCCCTGACCTCACCCGGTGATTCTCTATGCGGCCAGCAAATCCCGGCATCCTGAACCTTGCGGCCGTAACTATCACCCGAAAATCTTCTGCACCGCCTGTCGGGGGAGCCCCCGCTAACTGACCTGGAGGCACTCCCCTGTAAGGATGATCCCCTAACGGGTGAGTCACAGCAGCGCCCAGCCACAGACTCCCCGCTGCTACTGCGCTGCCTGCTCCACCGATTACTCCTGGAGCGATGGCTAGAAGCCCTCCTGTCCCCCCCGCTGGCTCTACGCCGCCTTGGGGGCCTGGCTTCCCTATCCTGAGTGCGGCTGTCCCTGCCCACCCGCTGGTCTGTTGGCCTACAGCGCCCAGTACCCGTGCCAATCCGGGAAGGGGCCATGCTGCTCCCTGCTGTGACCCCGCCACCTGTCACCAGCGCTCTGTGCACCTCACTCTGGGTTGTCACCTGTGGCTGCTGCACTTTGGAAGGGGGTGCCTGCGGCCTAGACCGCCCATGCCGTACCTTGCTGAGTGCTCGGGACGCCTCACCACCTACCCTGGAATCACTTGCAGGTGCTATGACTTCCCTGTTGCCCAAGCCCTTACTGGCTGCCCCATCCTCAGCGGAACCTGACCAACCCCTGCTTTCTTCCCCTTTTTGCCTTAACAGCCCCAGGGGGTGACTCACCGGTTGTGCTCCGCCCAGATGGCTGATCCCTGCTCCCAGCAGCGCCCGCTGCAGTTGAGGAGCCTACTGCAGCCGTTGAACTGGAACTCCTGCCGGGCGGCGCGGCGCCATACTGTCCAGGCCGCGACCTCTGCGGGTCCGAGCCTGGCCACTACCGCTCGTCGTGCTGGCCCCTGGCATGCCCGCTGACGGGCTTCGACCCCGCACCACGCCGGCACCGGACTCTGGGCTTAGACGTTGCGGCGGCCTAGTCTGCCGGGATGTCCTGCGTGCCGGTGCCACAGACGGTCCCGCCATATTCAGTGCTGCTCTCAGCCGCTGCTCCATCCATGCCACTCCATGCTGACGAACCGCTGCCCTGACACCTTCCAAGATCGCTGCCATATCCCTCTCAGCTGCCAAGGAATCCATCTGAAAGAAATAAGAAGAAAAAAAACCCCACCAGGAAGACAGCAACAGCTACCAACAGGTAAGGGATTTAAAATTAAAATGGAACCTGAATTAAAATGGCCGATTTTTATATGGGAAACTTAGGCCACTCCCCTAACTGACCTCCACCAATCAAACCACACCTCATTCATAGGCCTGCCTCTTAGCTCTGTCAAGGCCCATTCCACCTAGCTTGCTGTTCCATGGGCTTCAAAAGACAAATAAATGTTGCCTATGGTGCGGGTAGTATAGAAGGCAAGACTGAGACAAATTATTCGGATTACGTTTGCCTGTTGACATGTTAATTATCTTAGACCATTAAAATTCAATAATCAATGAAAAAAAACCACACTGTCACAAGTGTTATACAAAAATATGTATTTTCCTGGCTAATCATGGCAGCATATGCACATGGGTTAGCTCCTCCCCTACAGCCGATAGGACAGGAAAACCACCAAGGTTTTAAAAGGAGGCTCCATCCCTAAGGTCCTCAGTCTTTTTCCTGTCCTACAGCCCTTAGGACGTGAGCAATTTGCGCCCTTTACTTACGGACATGTATGTTGTTTTATCTTCATTACTTTATTTGCCTGTTTTACTGTAGTACATTATGCAGTGGTGCTTTTATGCTGTGATGCATATAAGCTTTGATATCTTTAACCCCTTAAGGACCAAACTTGTGGAATAAAAGGGAATCATGACATGTCACACATGTCATGTGTCCTTAAGGGGTTAAACTAGTGCATTGTACAGCTGTACCTTATTTTTAAGATTGTGGTACATTATGCGGTTGTGCTTTTGCTAGGAAGCATTTAAGCTGTGTTGCATTTAAAACTGTTTCATTTAAATTTGCATTTAATACTGTTGCATGTAATACCGCAAGTCATTGGAAACCGCAGTGCATTTGAAGACTGATATATTTTAAAAAACTGTTACATTTTGGAAACTGTTAGATTTGAAAACTGTGTTACCTTTTATACCTTGAGGCCTTTAGACTGTGGTGCCTTTAAACTTTGACTGTTTGCCCGTGGTTGCCTTTTAAACTTCCTTGCAGGCACTTTTGTTATCTATTTTGCTTCCCCCTCGGTCCCAGTGATTTATTCCCGGTTCCATGGGTGTTTAGGGGCCATGTAGGCTTCAGACAGAGTCCTCTCCCTGGTCTCTAAACAGCAAACACACTCGGAATAGGCCCACATGTGTGCAGTTTGTGCCTTATTGGACCTAATACAGATGACTTGCATTGTGGGAATACAAGTTGTGGCAGCCATCTTGGATAAGGGCAATTGCCAGAAAGTGCCTAAAATAAAGGGAAAATTACGGTAAACATACCACACTTATTTGGTAAGTATTTGCAGGGTCTCCAGACATGGATAAGTGCTGTCTTTAGCCTGTTTTAAAGCGGTTTCGCTGGTTTCTTATAGAATTTAACAGTGCACATTTTTTCTTAATACTTTACCACAGGTAATATTTAGTTATTATTATTTGTCAGGTGTCTGATTCTTCACCAGGATCTGGTTATGGGGAGAAAACAGTGGATGGAATCGGTTATGCACTGACTTCCTCCAGAAGGTTGTCGCTTCAGCATGACCTATCACTGTGCAGCCACATGACATGCGGGCAGGGATTACAAAGTAAATTCCAGAGGCCTTAGGGGTAAGAAAAGAGGCCAGGCTTTAACCTGTGGAGGAAGTTATTTCCAACCCCAGAACTACACCACCTAAGTTGCACACTTATGGATCATAGGTGGATGCAGACCTGTCCAAAATTTTACGCCTACCATTGCAGGAGGCCAGCCAGCTGTGATTTCCGCTGCTGTTTCTACAAACATGAAATATGTGATTAAAGATCTAAAGGCTACTATGGAGCGAGATATTAAAAGCCAAGATTGAAGAGGCAGTCTGAAGTCTTCAGGTTACTACTGACTTCTTCACAGAAACATCCCTAGATGTAACTAGGATATCCTGTGGATCAAATGGCTTTATCTATAGCAGCTAAGAAAGCATTATGTTTCTGTTTCTGGGATGATGACTCATCCTCCAAGTCTGCCCTCTACACCATTCTATTTGAAGGAGTGGTGCTATTTGTGAAAAATTTGGATAATTCCATTGAAAAGGCGAATGAGGGCTGCAAGATATTGGTACCTTAGGATGGAAGTTCCAAGGATCCCAGCTCCTCATAGTCTGACCGGAGAACATCCAGTGACCAGTATTTCTGAGATACAGGGAGCTACTGGCACTGCAGGGAATACTCCAGAGGTAACTCATGGCAGTTGGTAAACCTGTCTTTCAAGGTTCTAATGGAGCTAGAACGCAGTTGTTTTGCTCTTCAGCAATGAAAATATCTCCTCCAGTACTAGGAGCCTAATTTTTCTGATCACACATACCTGGGCTCGTCATACTCTGGAGGCTTGAGTGGTATCCATGGTCCAGATTTATATAGACTGGAGTTTTTTCTTAACGGGCACAGGAGTCTCCATACCAACAGTATTAAGACCAATGAATCCAAAGGTAAAGCACTGAAGGAAGAAGCCTTCTGGACGAAGAGGTGATTTTTTTTTTAGGTCCCAGAACAAGAGCAGTTCCAGGGACAAGTTTCGCCTCTCTTCTGGTGCTAAGAGGAAAAGCACATGAAAGCCTACACTGGACCTAAGAGGGGCCAACAAGAGGCTGAATGTTAGAGTCCTTGGGATGGAGTCAATCAGATCCATATCTCAAGCAATCTGGAAGGATAATTTCCTTACCTCTATATATCTCAAGGATGCTTACTTTCAGTCCAATCTGCAGAGATCTTCGGCATTAGCTCAGAAGAGAACTTCCATGTTAGTGCCCTACCATTTGGCCTTAATGCGGCCCCAAGAATCTTTCTATGTGCTTATAATGTTATTGAGAGTCCAGAACTCCACCTGGTTCCATTATCTGGAGGATCTACTTCTGATAGCCTTAGACCCTCAGAAGGCAGGCACACATAGGTATATAGTTCTTTCATAACTCCTAAAGTTTGGCTGCTTGATGAATATCAAGAAAAGCAGTTTCAGACCAACTCAGTGGATGACATTCCTGAGTGGAAAATTCTAGGCTCTGTTTTTCCCTATCTCGGGAATAGTTCCACAGATTGTGAAGGTTTTCTCTCCCAGTTTCTTCATTTCTGCCTGGTAACAGCAAGAAAATAGATGCAACTACTAGGAATCCTGGCTTCCATCAGCAGACTTGTCAGATGGGCCCAATGGCATCTCTGGATTCCTTACAGATCCTTCCTATCTTGGTCTAACAAGAGAAAGATTATTGGAGCCAGCCACTTACTATGTCCCCATCAGTGGAGTTGCACCTTACCCTGGCAGCTGAAAGAGGGATTAGATCTCTAAGTTTCCAGTGAACAGAACATCATTGGTCAATTATTAGCTCGAATTCCAGTTTTTATAAGATTGGTTGCACAGTGTTTGGACCATGTTGCACAATATTTCCATTCATTTGTATGGAATTAAGAGTCATTTTCAAGTCTCTTCTTCATTTAAGAGGCTTGCTGAAGAACGAGTGGGTCCAAATTTGCTCAAATATCAATGCAACTGTATCCTATATCTACCAAGATGGGTCTCACAGATACATATTGATGGAATTCCAGACCATAATGATCAGGGCACAGAAGAACAACCAGTGGCTCAGAATACCATGGCTGTTTGCTGGAGCCGAATAACTGTGGACAAGGTGGATTGGCAACCATGTCCTGACGTATCCTCGTGGTTGACGCAGCTTGTCTGATACCATACATAGATCTGATGGCCATTTCTTGGAACAACCAGGTCCAGAAGTATTTTTTACATGCTAGGACTAGAATGCTCAGGTTCAGGATACACTGGCTCAAATTTAGAATTTTAGTGTGATGTACATATTTTCCTGTTTTCGACCTTCTTAAAAAGGCAATGCAAAAGGTGACAGTGGAAGACCGTGTCGACTCTAATTCTTATGATGAATAAGATTATTCTGGAACCTCCAAGGGAAATTCCTGTACGTCCAGACCTATTACAAGGCCCCATGACACACCAGGATCCTCAGGTTCTGGTGTTGATGCGGGAGTCCATATTAGTATAGGCATCCCTGAGACCGTCATTGAGATCCTCTTACAATCCTATACAGGCTTTACCAATCTTGACATGCTTTTGTCTGTTGGAATTACTCCTCGTTCAGGCCCTGAAAGGTTCTGTGTTATAACACTCTAGCGGAACACTTAGCTGCACTTTGCTTCATATAGGCATTCATTGAAATCATGCCTCCACTGAGTGTGGTGAAGCC